TGGTCGATGATGCTCAGAGATGCAGAGTTTTGGGGATCCATCCCCGAGTTGGGCTTGCTGCACCTGGCCCTCTGAACTGTCCCTGACTCACGGATTCATTGTTTTTCATATAGGGCGCGAACTTGCCACGAACGCGCCGCGGCGACGACTGACCCTCCCCCAACTTTAGCACCGTTTTCACTTCAGCTTCCTTGTTTTGCGTCATCACTATGTAGCAGCTTATTCACCACGACTGCGTCACCCGTTCAAAGGAGCCCCCACCTTTAAATACAGCAGCTGCTTCTGCAACAACAGAAGTGATGTCTGCTCGTAGCTCGAAACCGCACGGTAGTAACGCCCCAAGTTAGTATTTAGGGCCATGATCGCCTGGCCTAGGCTGTGCCTGCTTACCGCTGAACGTTGTGCGTGGCTGGCAAATTTGCTGAAATTTGCTGATTTGGGTGGTTCCCTGTCGTACCGACAGCTGGCACGGAGCCAGCAATGATTGCCATGTTCGAAAAACTCCTTCGTGCGCCTCCTCCTGAGCCAGCCTCCTTCGCTACACTCGGGAGGGGGTTTTAATTTCAATCTTGTCGACAGTTTGTTTCCGTTTTTCTTCACTGGAGTTGTGATAGTGCAGTAGTGCACTTATTCAAGAATATTTTTTTGAGTTGAGTAAAATTTGAAAAGATATCACTAGGCCAAGTTTTCAGTGTCTTCATGGCAATGTTCTCAAGGAGCGATGGATGTGCTTGGAGTGTTTGACGGGCTCTGCTACAGTGCCTCTAGAGAGGAACGAGCCGATTGGCAAGGAGCCCAGCGAAGATGTCTGGACAGGTACTGAACGGCCCTTCTGGTTTCTGTATTCTTAGTACGTTGTTGAAAGCGCGTCCATCATCCGTAGAACGTAGTGGATGTACAGCCTAACCGTGTAGGAAATTTGGCCCCGTTCCCAACTCGTTCCCGCAGAAACCTTGGGTTTAACCAGATGAAGGACAGCGGAGTGACACATAGGGATGGGAGAGTTATCTTTGTACTAGGGTAGAAGCCGATGAATCTGTAGTCGTTGGTGTTCAACAACCATTTTCAACCCCTCATCGTACAACTTTTTACAGACTCCCTGGTCACCTCGGAGACAGCGTCACCGTCTTGATCAATAAGGGCCTGCACTCTGCTCTTTTCTTTTGTCCCCAACAAGATGTTGATGCTTGCTTTTACCGAAAATCGATTGAAAGCAGCAAACAGTCGCGAAGAACCTTTACTCCCCACTTAGAACGCACAATTTTTTGTCCGCAAACCAGATACATTATCAAACGCGGAGTGTTCCCATACTTTTAGGGGGCTGTCATTGTGTGCTACCGTTTCTTCTTAACACGTTGACGACAACGCGCGTTTTGGGTTTTTGCACCGCGTGGGACCACGGCGATTTTGCAGGCGCCGCCGCCTCACATCAAATCCGTGAATTTTGAGCTTTAAATACCCAAAACTCGGATGCAGCAAAATGTTTAGAATGATATTCGATGTGTCAAACTTATCAGAAGGGACAGCTGTGAACAATCGATCTAATTGACGATTTCTGGCAATGAAAGACGAGTTTCAGTTGCTTTTTGCTGCAGTGAACCTCAAAATTATTTTTGGCGGGGTTGCTCCACTAAAAACATATGTCTTGCTATATGTGTGGGTCTGTACTTACTTCTACTGCTCTTTTTTATGACCAAGATTATCAGAATATAAAGGAAACTAGGAATGAACACAATTGGGAAATTCGTAGGGCTTAGAAAACCTTCGCTAAAAAGGAGCATATTCAACCATTCAATGAACCTCGCCGTGTCTAGTCATATTATGGTGTAGTCTATAGAATAGATGCAAAAAATTAGAAAAGAAGTAGCGCATGCGCGAAAAAAATAAATATTTTGTGTGTGCAGCGCATGCGCTGCACACGGTCCCACACGGTGCTCAAGGTGTGATGCGCATGCGCTGCACAATGTCGTCAACGTGTTAACATACACTGCAGTTGCAGTAAGTTAACACATTATTGATGACGCTTAGCAGTTGAAAAAAGCTTTTAGAAAGTTATATGGAGTGGCGCTTGTTCAGCTCACGTCACACACCATCCCGGATCAAATCCTGCGTCGCGCGCCATCCAGGCCAACAAGCCTTTCTTCCCCCGAGGTCTATCAGTTCCTAAGGATTTTGCCAGGGGTGATCTCGCTAAACTGTAAGTTTGCTGGCTCTCGCAAGTCACTATATATGCCAGATCCCTCAAAATGTCTGTTAGAGAGTTGCGATTCTGTGTGGAATTTTCCAATGCGGTGGCGCATCCTCAAAAGGATGATCTGGCCCGCCAAAGGCTTGTTTTCTTTGTCTTGCATACGATCTACAAATCACTTCAGGGCCGATCGCTTATACCGAAGATAGAACAAGCACAATAGAAATTTTTTAAAAATGCACTTTTTCTCAAAAATGGCACCTCGATTCTGAGAACGCATCGCAAACATCCTGTGTTTTTTTTGGCTCTACTGGAGAAATCTTAAAAGTCTTCTCAAAAAATGTTATCTCTTTCTGTTGATTTTTTTCTTTTTGTTCTTTTGATGTGTTTCTGTGATTCTTTCCTGGTTTTCTTTCCCTCTCTCATGGTTTTCTCATCACGAGCGTTTTTGCATGTTTGGTCAACGCACTTGCAGTGAATGGACGAATTTGATCGTGCGGTTCTCCTTCAAGGCGCGTGATTTGCCGCAGACATTTTGACACCTCAATGAGGCCCACAAACAATATCAAGTCGCCGCAAGATAGGAACAATCAAACGCTGATTATTTTGCGGCTTTGATGCACCATTTATTTCACTTCGATTGAGAATCGGAACTGTATTTGAAAGTGTTCTTCGGTCTTTTGTATTTAACGGCGCACGAAGTTTAACCATCAACATCCAAGTCGACCTCGCAAGGGCCGGTCTGTACACGCCATTTAAGTACTATTTTAATAAGCAGAACACGACTCGCACGTCAAGCCGTCCTTCCAGCCCCGCGAGGTGTACGACGCCGCTGTCAGCCGGCTGTCAGCTTCCCGCTGAAAGTGCGAGCATTTGACGCTTCCAGGGAGCGGCGGTAGGGGTGTCGGGTGCCTCACTCAACCAAGCGCATCTGTCCTGGGCGCCTTGGGGGAAAAAAAAAAAAAAACCCATCCCCCCCAAAACAACGACACTACTATATAAACACGTTGCTACGCCGCTCAGCGACCGAAGAGCACTGTAACCATCGTGACTAAACTTGGGTGGACTGGGACGGGAAGTCACCGAAGGTGCCCGCCTTCCCTCTGCCAATTTTTTGCAAAGCCGCTATGGCCGAAATTCTTTTTCTACAAAAAAAAACAAAAATATCGTCGTTGAATACCGTCAAAAAACTCCCTCTTCCAGCAACTGACACGAGTCCCCCACCGCATAAACGTCCCTTTTTAGCAGCTTGACTCTTCACCACTACGCATAAATCGTCACCTCCCTCCTCCCCCCCTCGTAGTACCTTTACCAATAGTCAGCCTACCCTGGTTGTCAACTGGCCACTGTCGGTTTTACGTGGATCCACACATTGGTCGTTTTTCGATCTGCCAATGAAATGGTCCTGAAGGGTTGAGCATGCCTCGGTGGAGATCGTGTAGGAGAGGGTGGCGTTGCTCACGCGGTCCGGGGATCAATTTCTCTGCGCTAATCAGGCCACCAACCAATCCTTCGATCTCTCTGTGGCCCATTAGTTGGTACCTGATCTTTTAAAGGGATGGAATGGTTGCCAGGGAGGATAAAACGCTGTTTTTTTTTACATCGACGCAAGCTACTGTCTAAGCCGAATCGCATTCAAGGTGCCACAACGATTTTGAATGGAAGTGCAATCCTAAAAAAAGTATTCAAAGATACAGTTGATCAAAGCCGAAAGCTTCACCCTCTTATTTCTTGAGGCAGCGGCGCTCAAATCGAAAATTAAGAACATGATTCCGAAACAGTTCTGAGAGCGGAAGGTGGCAGCGATAGACCGTGCAGCAACAAGCGGAGAAATTTGTCAAGGAAACTACTGAGTATTCAGAGAGAGCGAAGGAGTGAATACAAAACCAATACAATGGTAATTATTGGAAAGGAAGTGTCCAAAAAAAGCACCGATATTGCTATAGAATCGGTATTGTTGAATACGATTGAGCCGATTCCGCGCAACAAGTTTTTCACATCTGCTAGAATCTCTCCACTTTTTCTCGAATAGTCTATTGCAAATATAATAATTACTGTAATAATGGAGTCACCCTAACAATCTTATTTTATACAGAGGCGCCACACTTCCGATGAAAATCACCGAAACAGCTCAACGTGGTCTTCGAGCCGCTCTCAAAGCCTCCACTCATCAAAAAGACTTCTACTGGATAGGTATCGTCTTCTCCTACGTAATTTTTTTCATCTCCTTAGCTTTTTTTGCTATTCTCTGCGCCACTTTGCTGTCCTCATTTTGAAAATTTGTTTTAAAAATTCTTAAGGTAAGCCACGTGTTCAGGGACTTTTACTGCTCGAATCCCCAGGCAGGATTTCGCCGACTGGGGTCCCACGACTCACTCCCGCCTCTAGTTCCCACGCTTCCATCCTAATTGGAATCTCATATGTATGGCCTTCACCGAAGAACGTCCGCACCATTTTACCCTTTATTGGGCACGTAATGTCGCCCAACCTCTCTAAATTGAATGTAATGTCAACAGAACATTTCAAAGGAAAACGATAAATATTGTATTTGCACTGAAAATGCCTCCAGGAGCAACTTCTTCTTTGACCAACTGGCGATGGGCCGATGGAACAGTGGTGGCCAGCGAAGAAGCTGACTGGTCCGGGTCCTCCATTCAACCATCCAATCGTCCAGAGGCCATTGTCTTGGCTCGAGTGGCAGAATGGAAATGGATTCCGTCGGCACAGAACGTCTGGAACTCCGTTCCTCTGTCAGAGCAGTAAGTTGTACATAGTCGTAGCGCACTCGATTTTTGTGGCAACCCTGCCTAGTTCAATGGAACGCCATTGATCTCTAGCGGTCTGTACGTCCGAGTTTGAGTCATTCATACTTAACTAAGCTAATCCCTGGTCTTCCTCATTTGTTAATACCATTAACCAAGAGGCTCCGTACACTCACTCAAACCTCTGCTATTCAGAACCAAAATCGTGCACGTTTCCTGGAATCAGCGACGCCGGGCGGGTTTCGTTCACTTCGGCTAACTTCGCAATTGGAACGAGAGCTGTGTATTCGTGCGAACTGGGGTGAGTTTGCGCTTGTAATGGAGTTCTTTGAATGGGAAAGGCAAACGAACGGCTATTTTTAGCTATGAACTTATCGGCGATGTTGAGCGGCTGTGTGACGAAACGGCCCGATGGAGCGGGACCATTCCAAAATGTCGAAGTACGTCCAGATTTCCTGACAACTCGTCTAACGATTGAATTTCAACTTTTTTTCAGAGAAGAAATGCGAGAGCCTTGAGGTTTGGCGTGGTGGTGGAATCGTACGATTACTGAATGAAACGGCTGAGTTTGGCAATGAGGTCTGCTTGTGCAATTCTTTTCAGAAAGATATTGCATTGACTTAATAATTACTTTCAGATCCAGTACGAATGTCTCAGTGGCTGGAAATTGGTGGGCGAAGAGAGGAGGAGATGTCAACACGATGGTTCATGGAGCGGTACAGCGCTCCGTATTGCAAAGGTGTTTAAGTTCACGATCAGATTATCCCAGCATTTTTATGCCGCCTGCAACATGATTTAGTTGGACAAAGATTGCTTATGAAAGCACCCCTTAGAAGGTGAGGGACAAATACACTGAGAGGAAATCAGAAGGGAAAAGTAGAAGACCCGAAAGCATTGGAACTTCCTCTAGAATCAAAAAAAAGAAAGGCAAAAAAGAGGGGGCCAGACCTCGCTCATAGTACCAAACCCCTTAGTCGCACAGGGTGTAACATTCAACTGCAAAACCGTTTCTCAGTCCTCTTCATGCGCCGAATCAAATCCCTTGCTTCACGTACCACACATTCTCAGAAATATGGCGGCAAATTATCCATCACAGTCGAGCTCAGGAGGCCTAGGGTTATCGCTCCAGTTTGAAGCTCCTATGTGAATTCTTCAAGCGGTTAACAAATGGCTAGCCACCTAGAGACCCTAGCTCTGAATATGCAAGACCGTTTTGGCCAACGTTTCAAGTAACGTCATAGTGGAATCACAATATGTTTATCCTATATATCTATATCCGCTCACCATCTACCCTGGAAATATCTTTGATGCCGTCGCTAGGAGACCTGTTATAAGATTTCTGATAGAACGCAGGCGCCTTCTTATGGAATTGGGTGCATTTGTCAAGCCAAAGTAAATATCAGTTTTTTTCAAAGCTGGAAGGCAATGAGTGCTGAAAGCTATGGTACGTATACCATGAAGAGCTGAGTTGGGATGAAATGGTGCCCCGGTAGCGTAACTGGTAGCGCACTTGCCCGGAAAGCGAAAGGTGCGGTTCGAGTCCCGCCTGGGGCGAAAGTTTTGTTCACAACCCAGCATTCTTGTGACAAATGATTTTTCTTTTACCCCTCCCCCTGTAAAAAACCTTTACCAATATAACTGCATTTTTTTTATTCGTTTTCTAACGGCGCTGTTGGAACACGTCCGATCAAACTATTATTGCCACCCTGCACCTTTGAACTTAGCAAAAATAACACCCTCTTGGCGCCCTGCCAAAACAGCTTTTTTTCACTTTTCCATGGAAGTTGAATTGAAAAAAAATTCGTGATCTAACTATGACGTGACTGTAAATGAAACATCCATTCCTTGAGCAAAGCAAGAAGAACAATCAGAATTTTCGAGAACGAAAACCTCAATATACGAATGTGCCTGACAGATTCCAAAGATCGAATCAACTACTTTTTTCCTAGTGGTGGATTGCGAAGCTCCACCCTCGATTTCGAATGGACGAGTTTCCGTGTCGACAACGACATTCAACTCACAAGCGAACTACACCTGCATAGATGGGTATCGTCTTATCGGGCATGACAAAGTCATCTGTGCTGCGAAAGGAATGTGGGAGCCTGCCGTTCCTGTTTGCTACGGTAGGTCCTCGTCAATGGCTATTTCGATGGTATAACTAAATTTCGTAACTTTTTAGACATGGCGACGCTGCGAGAGCTGAGGCCAACTCGACGGAGAGTCATGCAGGACTCGCGGCTTTAGGCGTCGTGCTCGCGTTTATACTTGTCTTCGTCGTGTTCCGATTTTCAAAAACAAGCAAATCTGTTTCAATCAGTGAAAAAGTAACACCTACAACTTACTGGGAATTTCAAGTGCCGCCGTGCGCGGTCGCGTTGGCGTTTCACATTACATGGGAGATTAGAGCTAGTAATCTATCCTCCTTTTTTCTTCTGAAATATTAAAAAATATATTCAAATCTAGAAATCTTGAATCTGCATGGACTTTTACACTGTTCACATAATTCATAAGCCTGACTCAACGTGCAGATTCACAGGATTGCCGCGACGCGACCGCACGCGTCTGCATTAGCAGAGCTCAGCACGTTGTTTCGTATTTCCTTGTTAAATTCAGAGGCATTGTTACCATTTTCCAGCCTCCACTCCCTGGCGCCACTCCTCCTGGTCTCATCTATGTGACGCCATCGATGTTGACCAACCCACAGGACTCTGTAGTCTACTACGCATCCAGCATGCCATTCACGAAAATGGAGATCCCTCCACATTTGCTTTCACTGAAGCATCTACCGAATGGTAACATCGAGGCCACACTCCCAATTGGTATGTATTGATTTATAGATTTCTTTTTGATGACTCGGTTTTGTCTCCCACCATCAAGTTCTACCATTAGTTTCCCATTGGTTTTTTGAAAAGTGTCGTTCTCGCCACCCTTGAGAAAGCTAGGAAGGTGCATAACAAGTGGGATGGGAGTGTCGAATTTCTGGAATACGGAGGAGCGAATTATGTAAGTGGGGGTTGCTGGTCGGCTAACTTTGACGTGAACGAAGGTCCTACGCAGTAAACTGAAGTACTCCAGCATTTCAGGCATGTAATATTGACGCCGCTCATGCCCCTCCCCCTGAAATTGGCTATATTTTCCCTGGCTCACGAATTCCCTCAAGTCTCATGACATCATAGTAGCGGGAAATCCCCACTTACCACTTTGTGCTCGCCGTATTCAAACAAAAAATGCGGCGTTTTCACCCTACTTGTGGTGCATCTGTAGGAAATTTGGTACTCTCAGTTCCCGCTCCGTAAGTGACTGATTTAATCAGTCCTCCCCCCATCTGAGTGACTCAACCCTCGCACCGGACCCTTTACCGGACGCCATGTTGATTCAATATCGACGCCCCCTATTCTGTCTACCGACGTCATCACAATGCCTCATCTCTGTTCCGGCTCATGATTTAAGATGGAGGGGGTGTGCGGTGGCGAAGAGACTGCTATGCCCGTCTACAACACGTCGTTAACTGACCCATGTCAACCGTCCGTTCGAACTGTTCGAACGAAGGGGTCGCATTTTGGTCGGAAGGGGGTCGCAATTTCGAGGACTGCCAGCCACAGGCGCGTGCGTGGCGTATCCGAGGGCAAGAATTGCTTGTGCAGACCGCATTAGATTCGATTTATTATGCACAGAGAGACAGTTTAGGCAAATTACAGTGTTTTCTTAAGGAAAAGAACAGTTGGATGCATCCCTATGAAAGGTTTGACTTCTCGGGGCTGAAAACAAAGTTCTTTGGAGACCTATTTTTTGGGGACGCTTCTTCCAATGTACTGTGAAACATGTAAGGAAGCGGAAATCTCGTAGTCTCACAAATGTCTTTATCCCTCTCCAACAAGCTCTTTGAAGGAAGTTATCATTGCTGAAAGCTCAAAAACTCGCATGTGCTGCTCAAAAACCCATGGGAAAAAAATGTTCGAACGTGTGATTTTCTCGAAAAATGAACTTTGAGAAACGGTTTGGTGCTTGTTAGAAAGAGCAAATCCTGTACTTTCACCCCATGAAAAAAGTGCATCACAGAAATGAAAATGAAGTGAGTTATGCCCGCTTAAAGCCCAAAAACTCGCGATTTCAAAAAAAGTGTTCGGCAAAACCCCCCAAAATGTTCGAACGTGTGATTTTCTCGAAAAATAAACTTTGAAAACGGTTTGGTGCTTGTTAGAAAGAGCAAATCCTGTACTTTCACCCATGAAAAAAGTGCATCACAGAAATGAAAATGAAGTGAGTTATGGTCGCTGAAAGCCCAAAAACTCGCTTTTGCACGAAAAATGTTCGAACGGGACAATTTTTTGAAAAGGGGACAATCACTAAACTTTTTACTGTTTGATAGAGAAATATTTGAAGTTTCTGAAACTTTTACAGATTTCCAAAATGTCGCATACGAAAGATTTTATGGGCCTTCAAAGTTGAAGGTGCGCCTTCTTAGAATTTTGGGTTTTCCACTTCTAACAGAAGTACTTTCCGGAGAGTTAGGCAATCCTTGTAGTTTTCTGAAAGCGCACCTCAGGCACAGTCAAAATCTACCTCAACAAGTCAAAAAAGTACGTCCCAAGAAAGTTATTCCCCTCTAAAATTTTTTCTTCGCCGCGTCCCGTTCTTCCAGCGCCCGGGTGATACCTGCCGCGCTCCAAGGCTGACGCCGCAACGCAGACGCTTTCTGGCGCAACGGATTCATGTCTAGCACTCTTATTAACAAAAACAGGGGGTCGCAACTGGACCCCCTCGAGAGCTAGGGGGTCGCAAAAATCCCGAAAATGTTCGAACGTGACGGTTGACCCTGGTCGACACTTACTTGTCAGTTGCACATTACCTTCATCCTTGACATCACAGTGTTCTCTATTTGCAGCATTAACTCTCAGATTGACCGATTGTTGGGTCACTGCGTGGATTTCTACCACTCTTTTTTCATCTTATTTCATATTTCATTGATTATTTTTGTTTACAGGGCGTCCATTTATTCGACCCCAACTGCCAGTGTTCTCGTCGTCGCCCACGCCGTCTCAGCTGCTCTACTCATTCGATTACGAGCCTATCTATGACGTTCCTCCGGACGTGCAACGAAGACCAGAGACCGAGCAAGAGGAAAATATCTATGAAAAGCTGCCAGATGTTAAACCTACTCCATAACTAAACTAAGAACTTGGCCGAAGCCTCCGCTACTGCCTTTCTCGTTAGGCCAAGGAAATCTTGTCCCTTCCCTGAATCTAACCTTTGCTGCTGTTCTTCAGCACCACGCGGGATTCATCCCTGGAAGAGTAACGATGCGGCACTGACAATCCTGATCAATACCCTGTTTCTTAGCGTGATCCCCTATGCCTTCCCTAAAATTCAAAATTTCGAACATGTTTTTTTCAACTACACCCTTACATTATCGGGCTGAAACCTGCCCACTTAAATCAGATGAGCCGTAGCCACCTCGTCATACTGTAACCCGGTGTAAGCGTGCTCTCCCCTCACTAGCTGCCTTGACCGAACTTTCCTTCCCCGCTTCAACTCTATACGGGTCCTTCTTGT